TATTCATTCACATTCAAAGCTGTACGTTAAAATAAAAATTTGCAACACTTTAAGTTTTTTGTTTTACCAAGACGGGACCCTAAAAACAGGTTATAAATCACGAAGTGGACGTATAACTGTCCACTCTATTGCTTCTACGGAACTGGATAGGTGAAGGAACCTTCTGGTACACTCACTGACAGAATGGTCGTCGTCTGATCCAATTGAACCTTTGTTGTTTTTAACTGTACTTTCAACTAAGATAGTCTAGGTACTATTTTGCTTCGCATGTGAGTTCGGTCATTCCGCATTCGAGTACCCAGTGACTCTCTCTGACTGATTCTGATTGACTGTGTGGTTTTAGTCGGTAAGAGTCCGACTTATTCTGCTGTCTGACGCTTATTGTCTAGACAAATATCTATCCATGAGGATTCATACACTTTAAAAAAAAGATACTATTTTGCTAAAGTTCTTCATATACCTACCTATGCTGCCTCAAACAATAAATGATCTGAATACAAATATTAAGATTGAAATCGACGTTTCACATTAGTTCTGATTGCCTCGTTTGCCGAGTTGTCGTAAGTGCTACTGCCAAGCAAGGGGTTTCGCGTTCGAATCCCGGATCGGACAAAGTATTACTGATTTTTTTTAATTCTCAGTAGTAGCATGGAGTCTGGAATTGTGCCTGGTATATGGCAATAGGCTCACCCCTATTACACGGGACATAACAAAAATAGTGAAAAGTAGTTATTACATTGTACAGTGGCATTAAGTGCCGTAATGTGCATCTATGTCCTTCGGGGATAAAAACGCCTTTTATATTATGTAGTGTTTTAAAAAATTCTTGGACAGTTTTCATAGTTCCTTAGCATTAAGATGCAAGCTTTTGTCATTTGTAGGCCGTCTATTATTTGTGAAGGATGCAATGATGCACGCACGTGAACAGTTACCCTAACTTTCTGACTTTATTCATTTAGCAGTCCCTTGTTATCAATTAGAACTGATTGAGAAATGTTGAAACATAATTAAATAAACAGTTAAACCACTCAAGCAAACCCCACGATCTCATCGAATCTCTACTCCTATATATTAAGTACTTGCCTTCATCAAAAACAAATAATTTCGACTGTTCAATACAATATAAAATATTAAAAAATAACCACACTTTCATTAATTCACTTTCATTAATCAATAAACACGGGTTCGATTTCCGGGTCGGGCAAAGTATTACTAGCTTTTTAAAAATTCTCAGTAGTAGCACGGCGTCTGGAATTGTGCCCGGTATATGGCAATAGGCTTACCCCCTATTACATGGGACTCATAACATAAATAGTGAAAAGTGGGTGTTACATTGTAAGTACAGTGGCATAATGTGCACCTCTGCATACCCCTTTCGGGGATAAAAGGCGTGTTGTTATGTTATGTTATTACTTTATGACCAACTTAATTTTAGTATTTTTCCAGCAATTTGTTAGGAAATAAGTATGCTGTTTAGCGCTAAAAAAACGTGACGTCACAATACACAATCTCGTATAAAATTCATAGAAAACTGTCGTTTTTGACAGTTCGAAAAAAGTATTGAAATTGACTAGTTGGCAAGTACCTAATTCTGTTAGAATTTATGGCAATAGGTGCCTACCTAACTAATTATTGTCACGTTGATTAAGTGGAACCGTGCCCTCGTACCCTGCTCCAGTCACTAAAGGTGTTTGTCATGTCAGGGCCGATATGTGTGGGCCAACAGACCCGGGATATTGTTTAAACAAATTAAATTAGGTCAAGGATATTTTCGAATTATTTTAATTTTGTTGAAATTTTATTTCATTTATTTATGTACATAATTTAATAGAAATTTAAATAAAATTAGTACTAACTATTACTAAATTAAATATATAGAACTTAAGATAAAAATAATTAAAATAAAACTAAAAACAACTATTTCCATAAAACATCGAAAAATTATAAACGCCCCCTTAATTAAATAAAGAAAAAAAACATCTCGTGACCAGTGACCGTCTGGTCCTTTTCTCGGTCAGAGGTTAAGCATTGCCATACACCGTGGCAATGCTGCCAGCCTTCTGGGTACTTTCCCTATTCAAGAATATTTCGATGCTCTGTGTAAATAGTTATTTTTAGTTTTCTTTTATTTAATGTATGTGTATCTAAAGTTGTAAATAGTTTCCTATTAATATAAATAAAAAGTATATCACAAGAAGCCCAACTTTCCAATCTATTTTCCTATCTTAAGTTGGCATAGTTTTCATTACATGATAAAGCTATTGACAAAACTTATCGTTAATATCAACACAGATCTAGACTATTGCTCGAATCTTGTTTTCTGAAAGGCTTTCATTTATTTTATTACATAATAACTTTTCTAGACAAGACCAATCGAGACGGGACTGGGCCACGAAAATTCTAGAAATTTTTTGATCTTACTCAAGGACGTTGTCACTTGAAATGATTGAAGAACCAAAATGTCAGTGGTGTATGTATGTGTGCGTGTACTTCCAACACCGTGATGTATGAAGTGTAATGACGGGCCATGTCAAGCGACAGATGTCTTTCGTGTCAATGTGTGTGTGTATTCTGCGTGTAAGTCTATAGTAGCCAGGTGCTGCAGTCGTTGTTTTAAGAGACTATGTCCACCTTTTTTTTGACGTCCTAGGTCTTTCTGTTGTTATTGCTATTATGGACTTTCTCGTTGATAGAGTGGTGAGATATTTACATATACCTAACTCAAGAACCAGATAAGGACCCTTCTCCAATAATTACCTATTGGATAAGGTTTCCTGAGTTCTTTTAATCCTAGATCAGGTAAAGTATTATTAAGATTCTCAATTTTCGAACAGTCTCATCAAAAAGCCTGGAATTTCCGTCTGGTGTACGACAATAAGTTCTTAAGTGGGATTTAAAACACAATCTCGCAAAGTGATGTCTATTCCTTTTTTTATGATATAAACCGGTAAATGGGCAGACGGATCACCTGATGGTAAGCAATCGGCGTCGCCCATGGGCACTCGAAACACCAGAGGCGTTACAAGTGCGTTACCGGCATTTTGGGAATTAGGAGTTCGAGGATTGTGGGGGAGTCGGGGATTGGGGAGATTGTGGAAGGGGGTAATTGGGGCTCCGGTAACCTCACTCACACGACGAAACACAACGCAAGCTTGTTTCATGTCTGTTTTCTGTGAGGCCGTGGTATCACTCCGGTCGAGCCGGCCCATTTGTGCCGAAGCATGGCTCTCCCACACTTATAAACACTCCTTTTCTTGTGGCAGGTCTGCAAGAAGAAATTCATTAAGGAACATGCAGTACCTAGTACCTCATGCTTGTTATGTAATATTGTCTGCTGCATGGAGTATATAAATAAATAAATGGACTATTGAACTATTTCCAGTTCAGATTACCAGCCTTAACCAAATTCCATTAAGACACAATAACAATTATAATTGTAACAGCAGAATTTTATCACAATGTTCTAAAAGCGATTGTCAACCTGTCTCCAACACTACATGGTCTCAAACAGTTAATTTACAAACTATTGCATGTTCCTGCCAAGAAGTTGTCTCATTGTAACAATCTGGGCCTTTTCTAGACCTCATTTAGTTAAACCGCAATAGACACTGAAGTTTTAGCTTGGTGTAAGATAAGGGTTATAACGTACGGTGTAATAAATGTTAGAGAATGTCTATCTGATTATGACAGTGTGGGTTCTTTGTTATGATGTGATAGGCATTTTGGGGTAATGCTACAGTATTCGGTATTTCTACAGTAACAGTATAGAACAGTATTAATTAATTAATCAAGTATAGAAAATACAATAGTAACAATTATGAGTACGACTATAAAGTACAGATTCAATAATAGGCTTCAGGCTGTAAAAGAAAAGTTATTTTGATTCGACCATTCGAATTAAGAAATTAACTGTTGCCCCTATGATCGTTAAGTTGTTAAATGATAGATACCTACTCAGGAAGAACGTAGTCCTCTCCAATTATAATGGCAATAATCTTTGAGGGAAATATTGGCACTAGCAGTTAATTTAAGCGAAGGATGCAATAGGGGACAAATGTCGTGCAACACGGGTCGCCAGCGATGTTAGGTGAAGGAGCACGACGTTGCCGGACTTCGCTCGGTATGTCTGGTAACATCGCGCGACACGTGTAGCCAACTACATCGAGTGTGAAGTAGCGCGACGTTGCCGGATATTGCACGACATGTCTGGCAACATCTTTTGACTGACTGACTTTGACTGCACGGTTGCTGCGATGGCTGGGCAACTGGCTATCGCGCAACGTGTCACACGTAACAAATCTTTTTGTGATCCATAGATTGTTGTTCCGGGGTGTATGTGAATTTGTATGTTTGTAAACGCACGCACGACTCAGGAGAAAATCTTAGTGTATTTTTGGCTTTATTTCACTATCAATTTTAAAGGAATTTTATCCTATGTACAAGATTTAACAAAACTCCTTTACCACCATGTCATTGAAACCGTCAACTATCACAGAACATGATCTAACAAACACCACATACACTTTAACAACAAAAACCCCGTACTTCTGCCTACCCTACTGAAATATGTCCGCAATGACACCGAAGTAAGGGAACATGAGTCAAGCGGCCCGTTTGTAGGTATCTGACCTCTGGGTCAAGTATTCTAGTTAATTTACTGGCATGTGCTACGGTAGTCCGTTGTTTCCCTGCCCTTTTTAGTGTGCTGTGGTCCAACGTTGTAATGTGAGGTTAACTTTGTTTATAATATTAAATATGGTTTTTATTCTTCTCGCGTTTGCATAAAAGCCAACTAATTAAGGGATTATTGTCAGAAACCGGGCGTCAGCATTCTCTGATAAATCAAGACCAACATCAACAGCCCTATTTTTTTTTGAGGGGGAAAATAATCCAACTACTTCTCCCACCTTGGGTGAGGCGAGATGTAAAGTCAGACTCTTACTGACTAAAAACCACCCCGTTCCTACTCCTGCTCTTCGAACTAGAGCCCCGACAACCCGTTAGGGCTTCCGCGGCTCTGCATCGGGCATCAGCCCTACTGTGCCCCATCTGTGCTGGTCTGATGGTTCTTTGAGGTGCGAGTGAATGCGACGCGCTGAACGTACGGGATCAACATCCCCTGATAGTTGGATATGGACCCTCCTCTTGATGATAGGCCAATAATCTCGACAAAGTTCAGGTTTATTAGGAATAAGAATATGGTCTAACACTATCTCTCGCCTCACCGGGGCGGGAGAAGCTAATGGATGATTTTTTCACCTCAAAAATAGGATCAGGTTTTTCAGAGAGCACTGGTCTTTATTAAGTATATAGCCCCTTAATCGGCTCTTAGGAAACCTAGGGGAAGAGTAAGGTAACAAAATGTATTCTACTCCATTTATTACCGACTTCAAAAAAAGGAAGAGGTACTATGTTCGGCTGATTGTTTTTTTTTTGTTTGTTCGCGCAGTACTCCGCCATTTGTGAACCGATTTCCAAAATTCTTGTTTTGTTTGAAAAGGTATACTCCCGAGATGGTCCCATTTCCATGAGGTCAGGATCTGATGATGGGATCCAAGGGAAACCGAGGGGAACTTTGGAAAATTCTATGGGCAAGTAATGCGTCTATTATGTTTTTCAATTAGGATTTTGAAACACTACAATTTGATAAGGGTCTGGAACTTATGGCACCGACTTCTTACCTATCAGTGGGTGGGTAATCTATCAGTACTAATCATAGTTATTTTTTGCTTTTTAGTTTTGACTTTTTGTTTGTTATATAGATATTAATTCAACAACAAGTTTTTAGCTATTTAGCATGCTATGTAAATTGTTATAAGACTCAAGTTCATAATATATTAATATGTACATTATGTAATTATTATTGGGTAATGTTCGCGTTTAACGGGACGGTTAGTGTGAAATCAGTGCAGAGACACGCCTTAGTGCATTGTTTAGCATAAGCTAGGTTAATTAATAGCAAGATTGTAATGCTAGTCGTGTAGTTGCAAGTAAGACTGGCCAGCTAGAAAGGTAGATTCTAGAGGTAGGTTTGATCTTCGTGTCAGCCGAAAGACGTTTTGAGGTGCCGGTTTTTTAAATTCTCTATAATAGGTAGTATGAAGCTTAGAATTGGGTAGTTGCCCGGGTAAGACATTTAAAATCTCATTAGTCCTTTAGTTAGATAATGAAAAAATGTTAGACACGCATTTTTTATTTTGTCATATAAACCTACAATACTTAGATAAAATGGCGGTAAGTTGAGTAGTGGGAGGTCGTTACATCACAACGTGCTGTAAAATGTAGCACGCTGTGACGTCATACGATGTTTCAAATGAATATATCGTCGAAAGTATTGAAGTTTGTGAGAAAATAAAAAATACGTGTCTAATGTTTTAAAATAATCTACCAGACGGACATTAAAATAAAATTTAGGAAACTATCGTGTTATGCTTCGGTGAATGGTATCTGCTAGGCTAAAGATCGAAGTGAACTCGATTGCGTTCCGCTATGTCATTGGTTGTGAGAATAACCTCGACCAATGACGGGCGAGAATGCGATCAAATTCACTTTGAAAGTTCGAATTGACAGTTACAAAAAGGCCTAACAGTAGTTATGTTATGTATATTACCTTCTTTATTACACGGGACTGCGACTCGTAATATAACTATAATAACTATCGTGAGACATACTAAATCAAGTAAAAACGCGGGTTACTCACGTGAATATACTGAGAAAAGCTCTACTAGTTTCGACGTCGCCGCGACCGCGCACGCTGCTCATGAGGAAGAACCCCTCTGTGGTTCGAAACTAGTAGAGCTTTTCTCAGTATATTCACGTGAGTAACCCGCGTTTTTACTTAATTTAGTATGTCTCACGATAGTTATTATAAAAAC